TCATGCATGTCCACATCCTCCCCAACACTTGCTATCCTGTAACTTTTGGCTCTAGCCTCCAAGGTGACCTGGGTCCCACCAAAGCATTGCTCTCTAGAGCAACAATCTATGCTTTTTTAATTCAGTTTTAAACGTGGAAGTTGTTTGAAATGTCTGCACAGACATCCCTATTGGTAAGTTCTCGCTGCTCAGGATCCGCTGTGACACAGCTTACAGGGCTAAGTCTGTCCCAGGCCAACCTCACCCGCTGCTGCCTGGTCCTGTCTGGTACTGGGGAGGGCCCAGGGCAGGGCGCTGAGGGCACCAGCCAACCCTCTTCGGGGCTGGCCACAGGTTGCATTGGGCTTTGGGAGCCGAGGGAGGAAGAGCGAGGGTCAGGAGCAGCTTTGGGGCCATGCCTGTAGTGGTGACTGTGCTGCTCCCATCAGGCCGAAGTGAGCGGTGCCCTGGGGGAGGCGGGGGGCCTTCTCTGAAGGAAGCCTTGGGAGCTCAGGAGCCCCTGAGTGCCCGTCTGTGGGCTCCACTGCGCCCACGGTCCTGGCTTCTACACCTCAGAAGGCAAAGGTCTGATTAGCAAAAATGAAAACTTTAGAGAGGTGACGTGGGCTCCACCTCAGAGTGGCTCAGTCACGGTTCACGGTCCCACATGGGACTGCAGACACCAGTGGGTGTGGGCAGCGGCCACGTGGCCCCGGCTTGGCCCTGTGACAGGGCCTGAGTGCAGGGAGGAGCCGGAGCTTCTTTGGGAGAGAAAGTCCACGGGGCTGAAGGCTCCCTCTTCAAACACTGATCGCTGGTCACGGTCTGGCCCACCACTCCCATCCACCGGCCCTCCTCATGGAGTAAATGGCGCCAGGCGAGGCCTCTTCTTGGCCATCCCCATGGACCCGTTGGCTCTCCTGAGTCGGTGGGGGCACATTGTGGGGCTCCGCACAGGGCAGTGCAGTCACAGCTACAACCCTGAGGCCAGGCTCTGGGCTCGAGGCTGGGGTACCCAGTGTCGCAGCCCCCTGATCTGTAGCCCCCTTATCCACACCCCCCAACCACAGCCCCGGGATCTGCAGCCCACAGGTGATCTGCAGTCCCCCACCATCTGCAGCCCCTCTGATCCACAGCCCCCCTGGTCCACAGTCCCCCTAATCTGTAGCCACCCCAATATGTTGCCCACTTGATCTGCAGCACCCTTATCTGCAGCTCACCCCAATCTGCAGTCCCCCCATCCACAACCCCCCTGATCTGCAGCCCCTGTGCAGTGATTCTGGGCTCATTGTGAATGCGTCCTTATTCAGGCCCAAGGGTGTGCTGGTGCTCCGGGGCTGGCGAGGCTGGGAGCCTGTGGCTGCTCTGGTCCCTGCTGTTTGGTCTTCCCCTTACAGCATCCAGGTTAATTTGCATAGTTCTCTATCATATATATAGATTAACCATATTAATGCTGTCAGTGAACTGTATAATGTTTTGAAATATTAACAAATTAATTAAATTTACCATCATCATCATCATATTTTATCTTTTCAACAGGTGAACTACTATTTATAAACTGCCAATGGCTTTTCTTTTCTACATTTTAAGAAAATTTTCAATCCTAGCTAGAGTGATAATACTGGATTTAGGTAAAAATTACCACTTGGAAGTGGTGATTAATAAGTAGAAAACTAAAAGAAGCTAAACATACTCATTAAGAAGAAATTATTTATTATTATTAATAAACTTATATATCAGAGTGATTTAATTCTCATAAATAGCTGATTGCATTGATTTTGTAAAGCAAATGATGTAAAACTCTAAGATAATTTATGTAATTAGTGAATATAAGTAAACCACTTCCCCATCATTCAAAAAGAAATAAACAGGTTAACATTAAATCTAGATGATGATAGCTAGAATAATAAATAATTAAAATAAATGTGTAGACTATTGATTTACTGTGTTTTTCCCTACAATTATATGTCTACCTAAAAAATTTTATATGCTTGAATTGGGCATTGATCTTCTCATTAGTCTAACCCCAAAGTGTGAAACATCGTGATTGCACTCATACCTGACTGAATATAAAAATAAGTAACCCACAATACGAGTACCTATGCCTCTTAGAGCAGTGTTTTATTGGTTCTCATTATCAACATGTCTTGTCCTCATTCCCTTACCCGTAATATGTCAGGGGTTTAACTAGATGTCTCTTAACCTATTTAGAATTCTCTGCAGTTTGACTCAGGTAATATATAACCTTCTTTACTCTAACAGGTTATATGGAGATATGATGGCAAAAAACCAGATACCTTAGGGCCAAATACCCGGCTCTATAAATGGATCCCCCAGAATGACCTTCTTGGTAAGATTCTGGAAAACCCTGAAATCAGAATCAAGTCAACCAGAATGATAAACAGTTCACTAGGATAGAAATGTATTGGACATTTCTTACTGAAAACCTCAAAAATAAAAATGAACTTCCCTATATTCCTTTCCCAGTCCTAGGGGGAAAGGATAAGCCACTTTGTCTGGTGAGTCATGCTCTTGAGCAGGGGTCCTCAAACTTTTGAAACAGGGGGCCAGTTCACTGTCCCTCAGACCGTTGGAGGGCTGGACTATAGTTTAAAAAAAAACTATGAAAAAATTCCTATGCATACTGCACATATCTTATTTTGAAGTAAAAAAACGAAACGGGAACAAATACAATATATTTGCATGTGGCCCACGGGCCATAGTTTGAGGACCCCTGGGATAAGCTGTAACAGTTGGCATCTTATCTTACATAGTCACATTCCTTATGGCCACAAACAAAAGAGCTTTAGTTCATGCGTAATTCCTCTCAGAGAGAATAGCTCAACACTTTCCCAATGATCACTCTGCCTCCTAGTTCTCTCCTTACACCAATGGTTTAATCCACAGTAAGGGTATACAGGTGCCCCTGAAAAATATCAGCTCTTCTCTTATTACCAGTGACTCTCCATTATCCATTGGGAAAAAAATTAACATCTCTTTCTGAAGTAAGAACATATTTCATTATAATGTGTAGCTTTTCCTTCCTCTGATCCCGGTGCCACCACCATCCCATTGTCTGTTGCCTTGACATCTACATATCACACTCTGTGACTTCACTATTTTATTAAGAGAATATATTTCAACATGCACCACCACTTTTTTTTTAGCATACACTTTTTAAAATCCAGAATATTATCTTTCCATTTGTCCACTGGCAACTTGTATTCATTTCAAGTCAAAAGAAACACACTGATCTTCTATAAGCCTTCACTGTCTCTCCAGCAGACTTATGCTTCTCTTCCTATGAGTTCTGAGAGACATTTTAATATAGCCTGAAGTGTAGCCCAATCTGTTGATAAATATATTGTCTCTGTCTGTGCCTTTATTGCCCAACTCTCATTTTATTTCCAAGATTTATAATTTATAATTTGCTGAAATTCACCCAATCCTAGGTCATCCAAAAACCAAAGCCTTTATAACTCATGGTGGAACCAATGGCATCTATGAGGCGATCTACCATGGGATCCCTATGGTGGGCCTTCCAATGTTTGGGGATCAACCTGAGAACATTGCTCACATGAAGACCAAGGGAGCAGCTGTCAGATTGGACTTCAATACCATGTCTAGTGCAGATTTTCTCAATGCATTGAAGACTGTCATTAATGACCCTTCGTAAGTATCACATATTTTTTATAGATAGTATTTATACATAGATTATTTTATCAATAGTGCATCTCAATTTTCATCCCAATTTCATGTAAACATTATTAACATGAGTTAACCCATCCTAATCTACTTTTATTTTCGACCACACATTTACTCAAAGTTGCATTTTAATCCCATGTATTTAATGGGGAGCCATCTAATGCAACAATTTTCTCCTCCAAGAATATAAAGTTATGTAGGTAATTATAAGGACACATTTTTTAAAAATATGATCAAATACATAGAAGGAAGAGTGATATACTAGAATAAAAATAATATATTCTTTATCTAAATAAATTCAATATCTAAAATTTCTGAAACTATAAATATCTTTATTCTCAAAAACTTATTTTATTATAATCATTTTAACAGATTTTATGAGATATTATTTACATACCATAAAATTCACATGTTGAAATTACATAATTCAAATATATGTAGTATGCTTACAAAGCTATGAAACTATCACCATAATATAAACTTAGGGCATTTTTGTCATCCCAAAAAGACATATCATATGCCTTAGAAGTCACTTCCCATCTCCCTCATCCAAGCAACCATTGATCAACTTATTGTCTTTATACATTTGTCCTTCTGGACGCTTCATAATAACAGAATCATACAATATATGATCTTTTGGAACTGGCTTCTTTCACATGGCACAATGTTTTTTTGTGTATATTCTTTAAATATATTTTTATTGGTTTCAGAAAAGAAGGGAGAGGGAGAGAGAGAGAGAAACATCCTATATAATAAAAGGCTAATATGCAAATAGACGGAACAGTGGAACCACCGGTCGCTATGATGTGCACTGACCACCAAGGACAGACATTCGACGCAGGAGCTGCCCCCTGGTGGTCAGTGTGCTCCCCCTGTTTGCCAACCTTACAGCTGGTGAGCGCAGCAGCAGTGGTAGGAGCCTCTCCCACCTCTGCAGCAGCACCTAGGATGTCTATCAACTAGCTTAGGCCTGCACCACGTGGGGAGTGGAACTAAGCCAACAGTCGGACATCGCCCAAGGGCTCCCATACTGAGAGAGATTATGCAGGCCTGGCTAAGGGACCCCCGCCAAACTGCATAAATTTTGTGCACCAGGCCTCTAGTTAATAATGAGAGAGAATCATTGATCAGCTGCCTCTTGCACACCCCACACTGGGGATCGAGCCAGCAACCTGGGCATGTGCCCTGACTCAGAATCAAATGGTGACCTCCTGGATCATGGGTCAAGGCTCAACCAATTAGCCACGTTGACCTGTCAATAAAAATATTTTTTAATTAAAAAAATACAACTTTGAATGGGAATGATTGGCTTAAGGGAATTAACTTTCTTTCAATGTTGGTATCTTTGTGTTTCTCCTTTAGATATAAGGAGAATACTATGAAGTTATCAAGAATTCATCATGACCAACTAGTGAAACCTCTAGATCGAGTAAAAGAGAGTAGTTGTTTCAGAGCCCTGAAGCTGATATGCCTCGTAGATGGGACTCCTCCACTTCATTCCAGCAAGAAGTCGCGATGTAAGGGTCACTATCTCCTGTGAAGACCTTACTTTTCACAATTTAGCTTCTCAGATCCAAATTTGTTTTCAAGTGACTACCTAGTTAAGAGTTATAAATATGTCATGCCAAACATAAAAACTTATAAAAAGTCAACCAAAAATAAAGCCATATGAATATATTTTTAAATTTGTTATTCTAATTGCAAAGTTATACCAAAATATTAGCTTAATTATGTTTCAAATATTACACATGAACACAAGGACATCAAGTAGTCTATTCACATATTAATATTATTTTGCAAATACTCATAATACTTTAATATTATTTGGGTGCAAAAATCTGTAGTTTTATCTTTTGCTAAACAAAACTATTCAAAAGTTAGACTTGTGCAAAATAATTCATCTTTCTATTTCATTTTGGGAGACCACCAATGCTCCTTTGTTTTACTGTACATCCAGCCTCAGCATCACTTCTTACCTATAGACATGGAAGTCATTTGCTTTCATCCAGCAAGGTAAATTATCATCAAAACTTATATGGATTGAAAAATATGACAACAGCTAATTGCTTCCTATTGTACACTGAGCTATATATGAAAGACTTTGGTTTCAGTAGCTAATTCTATTTACCTCACTGCCCCCTAAAAAGATTCACCAGGTTTTTTCACTCTCGTTTTAGTCTTTGATAATGGGTATATGCTTCCAATTATAAGTTTGATAATGTAGAATCCATTCTGTAAAGGGACTTACTGAATTTTCATTCTCTCCAAATATATGTGTACATATATATGCCCACGTCTTATAAAACAAGGCACAGAATCACTTAGCTACTTACAGACACAGTGAACAATAAAATGTGTTTGTTGAAGGCAGTTGAAATAGTGATTATTTCATACTAGGGGCCCAGTGCACGAATTACTGCACCTTGAAAGGAGCTGTGGGCTGCAAGGCTCCAGTGAGCACAGGCGCGAGTATCAGCCCATCCTCCATGCCCCGGCCTGGTCCCTCCAGCCAAAGCCCCCAGTCTGCTTTCTGAAGTAGCCCCGCTCTTACCACCCTGCTCCCAAGTGCTGACAGCGTGGAGTGATCGGGGCCAGTGCAAGGTACCAGCAGCAGGTGTAAGGACCAGATGGGACCGCAGCACATGGGAGCAAAGAATTTTCCATAACCACTAGAGGCTCGCCCCGATGGCAGCAACCAATGCCCTGCCTTGGTCTGGTGCCTACACTAAGCTGCTACACCATCCCATAGTGGCCAATGCCCTTTTGATCTATTTGCATGTTATTCTTTTATTATATAGGAATAGAGGCCCGGTGCACAAAAATTTGTCCACTTGGAGGGAGGGAGGGGTCCCTCAGCCTGGCCTGTGCCCTCTTGTAGTCTGGGACCCCTCAGGAGATAACGACCTGCTGGCTTAGGCCTGCTCCTGGGTGGCAGAGGGCAGGCCCAATTCCTAGATGCAGCCCCTGGTCGGGCTCAGAGCAGGGCCGATTAGGGCGGT